GTGGGTTTCAGGGACTCAGAGAGACATGTTCCCACCATTCCCAGTACACCTGGCAGTGTTAGCATGCTCCCCATGCTTGTGTTAGAACATTTGGATCCAATAAGGGGTTCGTTATAAAGATGAGTGCTGCAAAGGAGGCTTAGGGTACAGGGATGTGAGGTGTCACCTTTCCTTCGTGGAACCCCACCAGGTCCAGTAAAGATAGCATACATCCAGGGAGTCAGTCTGACTCGGGGCGGCACTGGTTTTAGACTCTTTTTATTGGGATTTGCAGTTCTGGGCTAGGCTCACTGTTCCAGGTCCATGAGGAAGTGTTCGATATCATCATAGAGGCTGTTGGTGCTAGACAGGCACAGGCTAAGACTGCTGCTGTCCAGGGAGGACACACCCTCACGCTGCACACCTTCCAGGTGTGCTTTGCATAGCCATGGCTCCAGCTGTGGGAGGGACATCTGTTAAGGCTCCCACCCAGCAGCCCACACCCACCTGTACTTGCCAACCCAGTCTACCTTCACCAGAATCAGGCTCTTCTCCTTGGGCCTCCCTGCTGACAAGTCTTGCCCAAAACCTAGATAGATGGTGTAGTGTGGTGATCCTTGCCGCCTCCGGGCCCGGAACTCTTCCAACTCTGCTAGGAGGTAGCTCTGGTGAGCATGTTAAGAAAGACTCCAGAGACCCACAAGGACAGCACCCCAGACCTCACTGACCTCGGAAGAAAGTGCTGAAGTTGAAGATTGGGGTGTGGCAGTTGCGTTCCAACAGCTGGGCTGGGGTGGAGGGGTTGGTGGAGCCCATGGGGCTGCCCACCTCCCAGTACACCTTGCATTTGCCCATGCGCAGGGCATACAGTGACGGCCCCCGCAGCTCCAGCTGAAGGCCTGGTGACACATGCTGCAGAAGTGTCTCAGTGTAATGCAACTGCTTCTGATCCGGGAGCTCAGCAGGGCTGGGAAAAATCACCGGCTGGGGCTCTGAGTTCCTTATTGCTGAGCTCATGGGGCTGTACAGGAACACGCAGCTGGGGTGTCCCACCATTGCCTGGAGCACTGTGCGACCCTTGTACATGATGGTCACATCCAGGGACCCTAGATTGCGCTCTGTGTGCAGACCAAGCTATGAGTGGTGGGTGGGGCACATTGCCCTACACCCCAGGACCCTTTCCCCTCCCGCTGAGGTAGATGTGAGGGCTGAGTGGTGCAGTGTTCTGCCTGGGAGAACAGGTGTGTACTGGGGGAGACCTGTGCAAGCACCACAGCTCTAGCCCACACCAACAGGTCCCCAGGTCCTCACCAGTCATCAGAGTTGGGTGTTGAAGCCTGGGGCTGGGGACAGCTTCCACCGGCCACACTGCATGAAGCTCCTCAGAAGCATGATCTGGCTCCCGGCCTGAGGATAAGGTGAAGCTGCCTGTCCATCTTGCCCCTCATGGTGCCCTAGCTTCCCCCCCTGTCCTTCGAGCAACCTTAGCTTTCCTCCTCTCCCTCATACAGCCTCAGGCAGATGGAGTTCTCTAGTCCAGCCCCAACTCAGTAACAGTTCTTCCTGCCTCTCACCAGGATCCTGTGATGGGCCTGAGTCTGCCCCAGGCTCAGGTTCTAGTGGGTGGTCCTCCAGGAGGCTGTGCTGTAGAACCTGAAGCAAGAGGTCCCCAGCATCAGCAGAAAACAGAGGGCTTGGAGTCTGAAGCTCAGCATTTTCTCTTGCCAGGAAGGGTCCTAGGGACATAGCCTGCAAGAGAACGCTTAGTGGTAGGCAGCTGCCCATCCCCCACACCTAGAAGGAGCGGACCGGACAGTACCTGCACAGGTAAGGCATTGCGGAGGACCACTTCTTCCCCATTTTCCATGGCTGGGCCTTCTGAAGAAAGGGGGGGATTTGGATCTAAGATTGACTAGTTAGGATGCTTGAGCAGTTTTAAAAAGTTCTCTTCCCCATACCCTTTGTCCTCAGACCACCAGACATCTCACTCAGCCCAAGGCTCTGACTTAGGAGGAAATGTGCCCACCCACCCATCCACCCACACCTTGGAAGGAAAACAACTAGGCCTACAATCAGCCTTTTTCCAACCAGCTTTAAAAACTACAAATTCAACCATGAAGCCACCAAGACAAAGTAGTCCAAGTCCCTTCCTCCCTAGTCCGTCCCTATTTGTGGCAGTCCTCACCAGTAGAGCCAAGCTCCAGGCTAAGTTCATACACTTTGTGTGGGTCAGCAGGGTCCCCCGAATTGTCTTTACGCATGATAAAGCGACGTGTGCTATTAAGTGCACAACGGAAGTTGGTTTTCCAGCCTGCTCGCTCAGCAGCCTCAGCCTCTGGGCATGGTAGGTTACCTCCACTAGGTGGCCACCTCCCTCTGGCCACAGCCCAGGCCTGAAGGAGAGGACAGAGAACGTGGGTTGAGGAGAGACTCCCTGCGAATTCTGAGAGATTATACCGAGGGCAGGACTAGCACCACCTTGAAGATCCGGGCGTCAGCTTCATCCAGATCCTTGCGCCCGAAATGCTTCCAGGGCACACGGAAGACTGTGTGAGCCTCATCCAGCCACCGAAGGCCCTCATACTGGCCGCTACTGACCTCACCCAGTAGCCACTCTCCAAACAGTATGCGCTGGGACCCCCTGCAAGCAGGGCAGCAACGCTAGGATCAGGGCCAAGAGCAAGGCAAATAGGACCCAACACAACCAGGGTGGCCATGTTCTCACCTCTCTGTGGCCATTGCTCCTACAAAGGCAGTCTGGGAGAATCAAAGTAGGTCCTACTCTGGGATGGGCTGCAGTCACTGCAGCAGTCAGGTTTAACAAATGAGGTAAGAGTCCCTTGGGTGTCACTAAGGTTTGAGGTTGTAGCCACGGATAGTGTGGCCAAGTGTCACAAGTGTGCTTATATGCGTTGGTCACAAGTGGGAATTTAAGTATCGCCAAGTGTGACCCAGGTGTAAGATGTTAAGGGTCACAAATGCGGTTTGAGAACTTGTAGCCACCTAGGTTCCGAAACTGAGTGTGGATTCCTCGGCTAAGGTGGCTATGGATATGACAACAGATGTAGCGGGAGCGCACACGTGAAGTCACAGGTGTTGATCCAGCGTCCAAGCCTGCATGGGCTGTCGCAGGCCGGACCCTGCAAAGACACGGCGGTAAAAGGGGGCGGGCCCGGGCCAGTAAAGCGAAACTGCATCCCGGGAAAATGAAACCTAAATAGCCGAAACAGCGTGTGGGCAGCTGCGGGTTTCCCTCTTGTCTCAGTGGCTACGGGCGCAGCCCTTGACCTCCATCCTACCCTCACACAGATGCCAACCTCACCTACAGATCTTCCGATCGCAGATCCTGCCGTCCCTCTGCCCTCATGTGTCCCCCAAGCCTCTCTGTACTACCATTTCCCCCGACTGCTCGCTACTCCGTGGAGGGGACAAGAATTTCCTCCCGTGGCACTAGCTCGCTCCCTCCCCGCGTGGGATAAGGGTTCCTTCTACATACCTGGTGCCGGAGCCGCCGGGACGGTTTTATCTCGGTGAGAAGGAGGCGGCCAGTTCTTTTATAGGACCCGGGTCAGGGGCGGGGCGGAGCGCAGCAGGGTGTGGCCTAAGGGCTCCCGAGCCATTGGGTGTCCTGTGCTGTGGCACTCCACTCCACTCTCACAGGCCCTTTGTAGATTCAGTGAGAGGCTGACCCTGTTTTGGACAGCGCCAGAAAGTCTCAGAGGAACAGCTCCCCAAGTGGGAGTGTGGGAAAAGTGTTTCCCTCCACACCTCCTCAGGAAAATACGGCGGGAGAAGGCAGGGGTACCTACAACAATCCCAAACAAAGTCAGCAGCTTTTTGTTTTGTTTTGTTTTGCTCTGTTGAACTGGCAGGAAAGTATCAGGAAGTGTACTCTAAAGAGAGGCTACACGTTGAGAATGGTACAGATAAGAAAACTCCAGGGGGCAGTGGTGGCGCACGCCTTTAATCGCAGTACTCAGGAGGCAGAGGCAGGCTAATCTCTGAGTTTGAGGCCAGCCTGATCTACACAGGAGTTCCAGTACAGCCAAGGCTACACAGTGAAACCCTGTATCAACACACACACACACACACACACACACACACACACGAATATCCCAAAGCCACTACTTGTAATACCATCTCAGGAGAGGTTGAGGCTTCAAGAGTAAGACCCTGTCTCAAATGTACAATTTAACCACTGTGTTGCATCCAGCCTTCATTAGAGAAGCTTCCAGCTGGGGCTGGAGAGATGGCTCCTCGGTTAAGATCACTGGCTGCTCTTCCAGAGGTCCTGGGTTCAATTCCCAGCACCCACATGGTGGCTCATGAGATCTGGTGCCGTGTTCTGGTCTGCAGGCACACATATATTCAGGCAGAACATTGTATACATGATAGATAAATAAATCTTTTTTAAGAAAGAAAGGAAGAAAGAAAGAAAAAAGAAAGAAAGAAAGAAAGAAAGAAAGAAAAGGTTCCAGCTGCAATGAGCAGAATCCTGTAAGTGGCCTGAGAACGGAGAATGAGGGATGGTAGGGTGTGTATCCAGAATGAGCCGTCTCTATCACCCCCTCTAAGGCCCAGGGAACAGCTCCCTTCCATGTTCAAATCCCAGAACCCACATGGCAGGTAACAACTGACTGTAACTCCAAGATCTGACACCTTCACACAGACATACATGTAGGCAAAACACCAATGCACGTAAAATAAAATAAATTAGAAAGGAAGGAAGGCAGCAGTTGAAATAAAACCAAAAAAATGCATTGTATAAATGGGTAAAGCTGCCCACTTTCTAAAAAGCATTCAACTACTGGAAGAAATAAATTAAAAACGTTTGGAAAGGAATTGGGGATGACTTTTCATGGCTGCTTTGCAGGAAGAAGCCCAGATTGTAATGTACCCTCCCCCAGGCAGACCAGAGAGCTGTGTGTAACCTCCATAGCCCCCACCTACTGACATGATCTGTAGGCCCCTGTATCTCAGGGTTTCTGTATGGGGCAGAGAGCAGTGTTCATTGCCAGAGCAGTCTTTTTATTTGTTTGGGTTTGTTGTTTTGTTTTGAAAAGGGGTTTCTCTACATAGCCTTGGCTGTCCTGGAACTCACTCTGTAGACGGTGTTGGCCTCAGATTCACAGAGATCTGCCTGTCTCTGCTGGGATTAAACATGGATGCCACCATTCGCAGCCAGACTTTTGAACCAGGCTGTGACCCTCAGAAAGGTCCCAGAGGCCACCCTCTGCCAAATGAATGTACAGTGTGGCGGGAGTCCCGTTCTGGTTCTTTCACTCGCTCAAACGAAGCTGTCCACATCGGGCTAAACGCTGAAGTCTCCAGCGAGGACTTCCCTCTTCCCCGCTGGCTACTGTGGGAGAGGAGCTTGGGGGAGGGGGAGGGAACATCCGGAAGCCGGCAGCTGGGTGCTCACAACAGGTGTTTTACCCCAGCGCTCCCTCCCTCCTTCCCGCACTTAGAACGGAGTTGGGGTGGGGGCGGTTAGGAGGGATAACCCGGCTCCAGAAGAGGAGACATGAACGCTTGGACTTTGTTGAACGACCTTCCCTGGCACTCGCTCCCGCACACCCGCCTTACGACTCCGGAATTCAAAAGTGCTGCTTTAATTTGCGGAGGAAAGGGGAATGTCTTGGAGTGGAGGTGGGGGGGGGGGGGGGGGGGGGTGCTGCGCTAGATATAAGTGTGGTCGATATCAGCGCCAAGGTGAAGACCCTTTTTCTGGTTAGGCTCGTCATCATCGCTGCCCTCACTTTCCGTGGCGCTGGCGCTGCCCAAGTCTGCTGTGGGCTCGTTGAGGACCACCACGTCAGCATCCTCTCTGATGTCCTTGCCGAACCACACGGCCTTGTAGCCACCCTCCCCCTCCGGCCGCCGCTCCTTAGTCAGAATAGACTTTACGGCTGAAGGACTATCCCCAGCCTGGACGGTTTTAGGAGAGCCGGAAGCTCTGAGCTCTGGGCTAGGAGGTGCAGAACTGGGGGGCGTGGGGCTGGAAGACATGGGGCTATGGGACCCAGAGGGCGGCTGGGAGGGCTCAGGGTCTGGCTGTGGCTGCGGGTTGGAGGTGGACGACCAGCTGGTCTTGTGGTCCGGGAGGAAGGTCAGGTTGTCATAGCTATTCTGAGGAGGAGGCACCTATGGGCGGGCGCGGTGCAGCAGGAGCAGAAGAGCAGAGGCGTTACTCCCACCAGTGCCTTCCTAACCCTCCTCCCACTACCTGGCTCCCACCCTTCTCCTGCCCCCCCCCACACACACACCTGGTATCAACACATCCAACCCAGCCTACCTCTGCTCCTTTCCCAGCTGTTCCCATTCATCCCTCCATGTCCCTTTTCTGTGACTCTTCAATCCTGGGTTAGTCCCCTTTCTGCTCTGCCTAGCCCAACACCGCACCGAGGCCCTTACCTTAGCTTTGCCTTTACAGCAGCAGTTGAACCGGTAACGGTAGTGCTTATGGATGAGGATGACCAGGCCGATGAGGGCCAGCAACAAGAGCGCACCTAGCACCCCGCCCAGCACTGCCATGTCCACCGTGGAAAATTTGTGGTCACCCATCGCACCTTCTCCTGCCAAAGAAACCAAGGCCACTTACTTTGGGGACACTCCCAAGCATCCCTTTCTAACCTGGGCCAGAATGAAGTACCACAAAAACAAAACAGGCATGGCTTGGCCCACCCTCTAGAGCTGAGGTTCTGAGAATGGGTGCTACTAACCCCACCAGGCAGGAAGGCTCCTGGGGGCATGACTGCCAGCTTCTGACACACCAGGATGGCCTTCAAGGCCACCCTGTGCACAGTTGAATGTGAACTTTGCCTTGTGTGGCTTCGGCTCCAGTTTTGAATGTATGACACTTGACAGTTTTTCAAGAACACTCAAGAAGTGTGCCTTGTAAAACTGCCTCTGGGGACCATTCCTGTGGGACACTAACCATGTCTGGTCCCTTGTGATCCTGAACACTGAAGGGCTGTGTGCGTACAGCTCAATGACCAGTATGAAAACCTTTCAGTGGAAACCTCATGTGTGTGTGTGTGTGTGTGTGTGTGTGCGCGCGCGCGTGTGTGGTGTGTGCATGTGTGTGGTGTGTGTGTGTGCATGTTTTAAATTTATGTAGTGTGTGTGTGTTGGTGCTACACATCATGGTGCATGCTGTGGTCAGAGGACAACTTGCAGAAGTCAGTATCCTGCCACTACCTGTGTAAGACCCAGGGGTCCACTCAGCTTGTCTGTCAGTCAGGCCCCAGGGGTCCGCTCAACTTGTCAGGCTGCTGACCATCTTGCCAGGCCCCATCTTTTTTTTTTTTCCTGGACAGGGTTTCTCTGTAGCTTTGGCGCCTGTCCTGGAACTTACTCTGTAGACTAGGCTGGTCTCAAACTCACTGAGATCCACCTGCCTCTGCCTCCCTAGTGCTGGGATTAAAGGCGTGGGTCACCACCACTAGGCACTCAGCTGTTTTGTGTGTGTTCTGGGTCTGAATTCATGTCCTCATGCTTGGAAGGTAAATATGTTATGAATGAGTCATCTCCCCAAACCTGACTTTTTTTTTTTTTTGTGTGTGTGTGTGTGTGATTATTGTTTTGTTTTGGTTTTTAGCAGTATTGCCTTACTGTGTTGCCCAGGCTAGCTCTGAATTCCTAAGCTCAAGTAATCCACCTGCCTCAGTCTTTCCATTAGCTGGGATCACAGGCATGCATCACTATATCCAGTTATAATTATCTATTATTATTATTATTATTATTATTATTATTATTATTATCGAGACAGGGTTTCTCTATATAGCTCTGGCTATCCTTGGACTCCCTCTGTAGATCAGGCTGGCCTCGAACTCAGAGATCTGCCAGTCTCTGCCTCCCAAGTGCTGGGATTAAAGGTGTGCACCACTACCACTGGCTCATAATTCTTTTAAAGACAGGTTCTCTGTGTATAGCTGTGGCAGGACTGGAACTCACTATATAGACCAGGCTGGCCTTGAACCTACAGCCTTTCACTACCTGTGTAGTGCTGGAATTAAAGGCATACATTAGCATACACTGACAGCCATAAAACCGTCACTTTTATCTTGCACCTTCCTAATAGTGCCCCCACCTTAAGACCCTAAATACAGATTGTCCTGGGATTTATGCGATACACTGGCTCCAAAATCTGCCTCTGTATCCCCATACCTTCTTCAGCTCACCCCATGTGCCCCACTGGGACCATCTGTCTGGAACTAGACACGGACTCCTTGGAGGTGGTCAGCGTGGCCAGGCCAGGCTAGCCTGGGTGGACCCTGTGGTAGCACAGCCCTTGAACCCCTGTCTGAGTTAGGAGGGCAGTGATGATGGCTCCAGAGCAAACATGTGTGGACTACCTGAGGATGACGGGCTCCTGCTGGGCGTGGTGGCTGTCGGCTGAGAGGTTCCTGGCTTGGGGGTTTGCATTGAGTCCCCTCTGGATGTGCTTGGAATGAGGGAGGTACTTGTTCTTGAAGTAGGGACTGTTGGCTGAGAGGTTCCTGGCTTGGGGGTCTGTGTGGAGCCCCCACTGGGTGTGACTGGCTGAGAAGTGGTACTTGTACCTGTAATGGGGATCACTGGCTGAGGGGTTCCTGGCTTGGGGGTCTGTGTGGAGTCCCCACCAGGAGTGACTGTCTTGGGGGAGGTGCTGGTTCCAAGAGTAGGGATCCCCCCAGGTGTGGATGAGGTAGAGGCAGGTGGGCTTAGAGTTGTGCCTGAGGGTGGGACTGGGCCAGCACTTCCCCCAGAGCTGGTTGTGGCCGGTCCTTGAGAGGTCCCAGAGGTCGTGGGAGCTTCCAAAGTGGTGCTACTTGAAGACCCAGTTGTTCCTCCAGCTTCTGGGGGCTTGGGGGACTCTGGGGGTGGCATGGACAGAACTTGGGTTTGCCTCTGTCCCCAAATATGCCTGTTCCAAAGAAGGAGCCACCTTGTTTGGGGGCCCTCAGGCTCACCTGTGGAGGGGGCCTCTTGCTCTGACACTTGGATCTCAACGACAGTGGTGGCTGTATCGTTAGTTACAGTACTGGTAGCTTCTACCTGGGGCAGGAAAAGGGCTTGTTCCTCTCAGGTCCCTCTTTACCCCACACCTTTGGTCCCCGTATTCCCCACTCCACCTGTACATAGAAGACGCCTGTTTCTTTCATAGCCTTAGTGGTCAGCATGATATCCTTGTCCATCCTGAAATCTGAGGAGTTGATGATTTGATACGTGATGTTCGAGTTGAGGTCCTGGGTGAGAATGCAGTGAGGCCTGGGCCTGGGTGTCCTACTGTCCATCCCAAGCTGCCCACACAGAGAATCAGAGAGTTCCTAGGTGGTCAGGAAGGGACTGCATACCGGGAAGTCTGAGTACTGAGCTTGGATCCTCAGGGTCTCAGAAGGGGAGGTCCTGTCCTTCACTGCTGTGTTAGCCTCAGAGCCAAGCACCACTGTACCATGGTACCGGCTCTGAGAGAACTGGAGTGGGTTCCCAGAGACATCACGAGCCTCCACAATGGCCTGGGTCACTGAGTAGCGGGCCCTATCATCCTGATCAGCCTGGGGAGTCAGGGGAAACAGGAGTAAGCAATGGGACTTGTTGGAGCTGGGCTGCAGCTGGGGCTCAAGGGAACACAGGAGACCCATCTGTTGTACTCACTCTGACCAGCAGGGTGAAGGTCATGGGGCTGGGTATACTTTTGCTCATCGTGAGGTTGCCAGACTTCTCGTCGATGATGAATGTGTCATCCGTGTTTCCTGGGAGAATTCGGGGTGGGGTTTGGTGTCTGGTCCCTCTGTTGTAGGGCCCAGGTGCTATAGGGCTAGCCCTCACTCACCAGCCATAATGCTGTAGATGATGGGCTGGTTAATCCCCTGATCTCCGTCCACAGCATAGATGGGACCAGGACTCAAGATGAGGGGGGATGACTGTGGGGATAGGGATAGCCTGAGGTTGAGGGACCCCAGTTCTTACTCTTTTGTTGTCCCTCAAAGCCTGGAACATGAATTGGAGCATGGGGGCAGGGGACAGTTCCTGCTTGAGACAGAGCTGCAACCACAGCAGGATTCAGGGGCAGCAAGAACTTAAGAAGGAAGACTTGCAGCCTCCGTGCGTCCTCTGTACCATGGAGGTTACGGTAGCCTTAGCTGGCCCCCACCTGCCCAGCTGGCCCTCTGGCCCCAGAGGAGACTGTCTGCTGAGCAAGGACATAGCAGTCCCTTATTAGCATCAGCCCAGCCCCTGAAGTCCTCACACCCCAGCTGACATCACAGGGTCTGTGCTCGTCACTGATTTTTTTCTGTATGTCCCTGACCTGAGGCTGGGATAGTTAATGAATGATTATTCATTCATATTAGTTTCCAAAAAAAATTACAAAATTGCTTAAACCTCTTGGGGAGCACAGGACCACCGCTGGGTTCCTACCCTGACTTGGCTCTGGATTCAAGTTAGACCCTGGGCTTTCTTACTCCCTATTACCAGTAGGAGCCCCGTGGGGACCACTCCACGGTACTGGGCCTGGATGCAGAAGTAGCCATCTGAGAAGGAGCAAGGCAGGAACCAGGGGGTCCGTAGGTCAGCCGGAAGCACGTTTACGATCAGGGTGGCAGTGGCCGTGTGGCTGGGCTCTGTGCTGTCTGCATTCCAAGTATCCTGTATTCACAGCCAGCCATGACAGGTCAGGCCCACAACAAGGACTTGGACAGGGCCTAAAACATCCAGGACTCAGGTAGCTGTGATCTGTTTACCTGTGCCAACAGCCTGAAGGTCATGTTCTGATTCTTATAGAAATCCAGGGTCCGGCTCAGAGTCAGAGCAGGGTTGGTTAACCCCACCAGAGAGAAGAAGCTGCTGGCATTCTGAGAAGGCAGAAGAGGTCACAACCTGAGCCTCTGAGGCCTGGAGGCATCAGAAGGAAGGGGTCAGTAATACGTGGGGACAGGGGAAGCACTGACAGGGGTCACTTCCTGCAGAGTGTAATAGAGCGTGTCATCTTCGTCAGCATCTTCGGCCGCCAGTTCTGTCCCAGGGATGACAACTGTACCCACTCTGGTGTCCTGGGGATAGAGAAGAAGTTGATCCAGCCATGCTGTGGTTTCTGTATATATCTATCTCCCTGAAGGCAGCCCTCAGACATCCCTCTGTCCCCCTTCCTTCTCCACACTCAGAAGGCACCTGCTGTGACGCCACTGGACTCACCTCTGATACATTGTATTCCTTGGTTGTAAAGGGAAACTCTGGGGAATTGTCATTGATATCCAGGATAATCACAGTCACAAACAATGTTGTCACCTGCAAGAAAGTCACTAAAGTCAACCCCTGCGGAGGAAGGATGCTCGGGTGCCAGCATTCGGTCCTTTCTTCTTTATCAGTTCATTCGTTCAGTCTTTCGCTCTTTCACTCAACAGACATTGGTGGCATCCACAATGTAGTGGCCTATGGGCTCCTGTTCCAGGAGGAACTCAGACTAGAAAAACAAAACTAAATAACATTTCAGAGTGTGGCAGCCAGTGTACGGGGAGTGTGCTGAAGAGACATAAGGGCAATCCTGGGGACACAACCCGCAAAATGTCAAAGGAAGAAAGCAGCAGTCTCATCGCCCAAAAACAAGTCTTCAAAAAAATAGCAGAGAAAGGAGCCTTCAGGTTAAACTCACTGGCTGTGTCCTCCCCCCCCCCCCCCGGAAAGAGACCTTCCTGGAACCCAGGAGGAGAGAGAAGTTGAGGACAGAGAGGAGGAAAAGGTGTTCTTCTCCAGTGACAGATGTCAAGGCCATGATCATTCCGTGTGTGTGTGTGTGTGTGTGTGTGTGTGTGTGTAGTGTATTTGTGTGTTGAGAGTGGAGCCCAGGGTCTCAACCATACACTAGGCAGGTGCTCTACCACTAAACTATACTTAAAAATGAACTTGTAAAAAAATTATTATCCCCAGCACTCGGGAGGCAGAGGCAGGCGGATCTCTGTGAGTTCGAGACCAGCCTGGTCTACAAGAGCTAGTTCCAGGACAGGCTCCAAAACCACAGAGAAACCCTGTATCGAAAAACCAAAAAAAAAAAAATTATTATCTATTAGAGACATGGGCTGAGATATGTATGGGTAACATGTCACGGTACAGGGTTGGAGTGCAGGGTGTGAGAGTTGTTTTTGGTGGGGCAGGAAGTGTCTGGAGCCTGTCATATCTGTAAGCATCCTTTAGCAAAAGGCTGAAAATGTGGTGTAGGCTGAGGGCCGAGGGTGAAGATGCCTGGGTTGGGGCAGGTGGACGGTGTGGACTAGGAGGGCGAGACGTCCCCTGAGATAATGTGTCCATGCTGGTGTGAGCAGGCTTAAGGAGTGTCTACACTAGGCCAGTGTCTGCACAGCCTAGCCTTGCCTGCCCAGATGGGAAATTAACTTTGAGTCCCAGTAAGAAAATGTGGAAGTTTCTGTGTGAGGCTAGGCAGGGTCTGGTTATGACTCTCTGGGGACTCACTGCATGGAGAAGGGATGGAGGGGGACCAGGGACAAGAAAGTAGCAAGGGGATCCACTAGAGGGGTCAGAGAGGCGCTCTATCAACCAAAGCCCCTGGGGGACTCAGGTAGGAAGAGCAGGGCTGACTTTAAAGGAGGCCCAGGCAACAGAGTCCCTGGGGGTGTGTGTAGGGGGTGACAACAAAAGTGGGGTAAGGGGCTGGCCGGTGAGGGTGTCTCCCAGGTGAGGGGTGAGGGGCAGACTTGGGGTCTCAGGGTGCTGATGCATACATGGCCCTAAATTAGCAGCATTTGAGTCTAGAGCTCAGGGCAGAGTCTGGGCTAAGCGAAGTGTGGGAGTGGCCAATAGAATGCTTATATATATACTCAGACTCCCTGAGGTGAGGTCATGGAGGAGTGGTCTTGGGGTATTCTGACAGGTCAGGGGTGGTCAGATAATGGGGTTGTCTTACCACTTCATTTCCTCTCTTGCATTCCAGGACTGCCTCCAGCATAGAGTTTTCCTGAGGATAATGAAGCCAGTACCCTATGAGTCACCGGCCCCATAGGAAGTACAGTGCCCTAGGCTAGGGGAGTGCGGGAAGGAAGGCCGGTACTTCTCCAGGGCCCCTGTCATCGGTGGCAAATCCTGCGTGTAGGGGGCTTCTGGCAACTGTGTCCCCCAAGGGTCCTACCCCACAGTACCAACCAACCTCACTCACTACCTGGGGACAGAACCATTAACCCCTCCTCCTAGGGTGTCTTTTTCAGGCTAGGGGAATGGATGCTCATGTGTGTCCCCATGGGGGCACATTCCACCCTACAGACTGTACCTCATGATCTGGAGTCACGATGAGAAACAGCTGGTTGCCCGCAATTTTAAATGTAGAAGGAGTGGACCCGGACCCCAGGGTCACATGCAGGCCATCTGAGACCGAAATGTTCAACAGCGGCTCGGAAATACTACTGTTCTCCTCGATTCGAACAACCGGCGTGTTCACAGAACAGACTGGAAAGTTGCAAAGGAGAAGTTGGTACAATCCACCCACTCTGCTGTCTACCCATCCTGCCCTTGTCCAGCACATACCTTGGTCCTGGGCCGAGGTCCCTGGAGGTTGACCAAACAGCACTAAGAGCAATGGCAGCAGCAGCGGAGGCCACAGGAGGGCCGGAGCCCCCATGGTGGCAGCTGTCAGCTGGAAGAAGGGTCCAGCTGCCTTCTTGTTCTAGGGCTGGTACAGTTCCTGCCTGGGCGACCTTCGCCCCTGCCAGGTACCGCCTCATTTTATGACCCTTTACCGATGGCCTCTACCAAGGGGGCTCCCGCTGGCCGGCGCTTAGAGGGGACATGAGGTCATGTTTCAGCCTGGACTTCTAGGAAGTTAAGCGGGGATTCAACCCACAGACATTACACAAGGTGTAAAATGCGTGAGAAACACTGGGAGTGGGGAATAGGCCTGGTAAAGTTAAGACAAGGCTGGGGCCATCGGTCTAAGAAGGCTGAGTCAGTGCTGAGGAGCTGAAGCAGGTCTGGGAGCTGAAATCATTCATAGATTTGGGGGGCTGAGACAGGACTGGGGGCTGAAGCAGCCCTCTGGGGGTGGAACAATAGGTCTGGGGAGCTGGGACAAGGCTGGGGGGAGCTGGGGCAGGGCTGGGGGAGGCAGAAAGGAGTAAGGTAGGCCTGGGGAGCCTGGTGGGGGGGAACTGGGGACAAGGACAGGGACATGGGCTGAGCCATTGGCCTTGGGTCTACTGTAACCCGCAACAGGATAGCCCTCATCTTGTCTCTTTCTCTTCAATGTCCTTAGCAAAATTCCCGAAGCCACATTATGTCACCTCCCTCTCCCGTTCCACTCTCAGAGCAGGAGTGTCCCAGCATGCTCCTGCCTCTGTGGGAAGCACAGCAGTTTCCCCAGGGCTGGGCCTGGCAGGGCTTGGCAGGGCCTTGGTAATAGGATGCAAATGAAACCTTCCAGCCACAGCTGGGAGCGGGACTAGGTGGGGACCCAGTATCTGTGGAAGACAGAAATCCTGGCCTCCGTTAGACTTGCTCCAGTCTTTCTTGCTTCCTCCTGTCTTCTCTACAAGCCCTCAGAAATGGGGAGAGGCCTCTAGGTGGAGCCAGGAGGGTGGTAGGGGGTGCTGTGTTGAAAGGGCCCACAGAGCCCTCACCATCTGGGCCTTTGCTGCTCTGGATGCATGGAAACCTTCCTGCAGCTCCAGGCCACTGTCACGACTGAGCGATTTGTCTCATGAGAGCTGTGGTCCCACAGCTGTCTGCTGGGAGATGACATCACTATCCAGGCTTCAGGGCTGTGCCAAGACCACGTAGACATGTAGAACCAGGATGTACACAGGCCCTTTCACTCATGAGGGACCCCTATCTGTCCTGCCTGTGCCTCCTCACCGCTCCATGCACCCTGACCACAAGGCTGGATGAGAGCTGGGATCTCTGATCCCTGGAAATTTTCCTAAGTGGACCACAGGACAGGGTGGAACACTGGGGAGTTCAACTGGGAAAAGAGGAATCCAGTTGATACCAGAGATAAGGAAGAAATGTCCGAGCTGACCTCCCAGGTTCAAAGGGCAACTGGGTGTGGTCCTAGTCATTGAATGAGGTGGCTGGACCTGTCCACACTCAGTCTTACTGAGCAGGGACTGCCTTGATTTTATCAGACATCACACACTGTGAGCTACAGACCAGGGTCTAAATTCCTTCTTTATTGATGCCAGTGACAACCAAACCCTAGCTCCAGCCAGGCTCCTGGAGACTCCCCTTCCTCCCTCATCGGGGCCGCCTGGTTGCTTCAGTCCACTCTGAAACTTCGACAGCTGGCTTTGGTCCAGGAGGCAGCCACGGAGACTGGGACCCATCCAGGGAAAGCCTAGGGAGGAGCCTGTGGAGGGGGATAGGTGGTTAGGGTGCTGGGACTGACCATTAGAGCGCTCACACCCACATGGCTAGGGAATAAGAAGGATGCTTTAGGAGTCCAGCTGAGGGTGGACCTCTCACCAGTCCTGTAGGGCCTGAGTGTTCGACCACAGCAAGCAGAGCTGGTCCTCTGAGGGCTTGGACCCGGTCAGGCTGTTCTCTGGGATATTTTCTGCGTCCTGCTCACTGCACCCCCCCAACCCCAAATTAGAATTAGTGGCAGTACTGGAATGTGGCAGGTTGCTGAAAGGGGACTATACCAGGCCTGCTCCATACCAGGAAAAGTCTGGAGAGTTCTAACTACGCCTGCTCACCTGCGCTTCCCCACCAGACCCTGCAGCAGGCGCTGCAGCCTGGCGCTATCCTGCAGGCGGCTGAGCTCGCTTGTGAACGTCCCGTCTGAATGTCTTGAGTTCCTGGGGAAGGGAGGGGCGAGGAGGGTCAGAGTTCGCCGGTGCGGGCATGTGGGCGTGGGCGTGGCCGTGGTAAATGACCCCCAACACACACACACACACACACACACACACACACACACACACACACACACACACACACACACACACACACACACACACACCCTCACCTGGGGAGCGCCGGGAGCGCGGTGGAACCAGCGAGCAGCAGCAGCAACAGCAACAGCGGAGGCCTGGACAGTGGATGCTCCATGGTCCAGCTCCGTGTGTGCTGAGCCGTGCAGCTGCAGTCTGAGCTCCGCGCCCCTGCTTTATAGCTGCCCCGGCGGCAGGTGGGGGGCTCCAGCACCGCCCCGGCTCCACGCGGCCGGCCGCGCCCCATCGATTGCGGGAAGGTCAGGGCCACCCCCACAGCTGTCGTCCGGCCACCTCCCGTCCCGTCGGCGCCCCTCAGCTTACTGGGAGGGGGAGTAGAGGGGTTAGTGCTACCAGGTAGCGAAATAGACACCTCCATCTGGGACCACGGGCAAGGAAACAGGGTTTGGCGGTTCAGGACAGGCAGAGGGAATCACACTGCCAGGCCACTCCAGCCTCAGTTCATCTTGGCGCCAGCCCTAGACCCTGGAACACTCTTCTCAGGAAGGGACAGTAGGTGTCTTGAGAAGCCTAGGAAGGGGCAGTAGATGACTGAGGGGGGGAAGGAGACCAGAGTCCGATCTGGGGACGGATGCAGAGAAACCGCCTGGAAGGGCAGACGGGCACCCGAAACAAAAATGGGAATCCTCTTAGGCCTTGAGGCTGCATTTTTGGATGGGAGCAAACATCCTATTCGTATTGGAATCAGGAAGTAAAACTGGGTTAGAAAAAGAGAAAAGCAGGCCTTAGAGGTTGTAGGGGAGGGGGGAGGGGAGAGCTATGGATGGGAATTGACTTCCAAAGCATCTCCATTCCTGGCGTCCGGGACAAGTAGTAGGACACTTGTCTAGCGTGCACCAGGACCTCCGTTCCACCCAACACCGAAATCCGAACCAAAAGACAATCCTTAGAATCAAATTACAAAACTAGCAAACTGTGATGAACTAGCTCTTGAGTAAAAGTCATGTAATGGTTTTTGTTGTTGTTGTTGTTTTGTTTTGTTTATTTGTTCGTTTTTTTTTTTTGGTTTTTTTTTTTTTTTTTGGTTTTTCGAGACAGGGTTTCTCTGTGGTTTTGGAGCCTGTCCTGGAACTAGCTCTTGTAGACCAGGCTGGTCTCGAACTCACAGAGATCCGCCTGCCTCTGCCTCCCAAGTGCTGGGATTAAAGGCGTGCGCCACCACCGCCCGGCTATTTGTTCGTTTTTTTGAGACAGGGTTTCTCTGTGTAGCTTTGGTGCCTGTCCTGGAACTCACTCTGTAGACCAGGCTGGCCTCAAACTCACAGAGATCCAGCTGCCTCTGCTCAAAGGTGTAAGTCACCACACCACGGCCAAGCTTTTCTCTTTTCTTTTCTTTTTTCTTTTCGTTCTTTCTTTATTTTATTGCTTGTTTGTTTGTTTGTTATGGGAATGGTTTGTTTTGTTTTGGAGGCAGAGTATATAGCTCAGGCTGCCTTTGAACTCATCATCTAGCCCACGTTGGCCTGAAACCCTCAGGAATCTTCTTGCTTTAGCCTCTCAAAAGCAGAGATTGCAGTCACCAGTCACCAAATCCAGCTCTGCTTGCATTTTGGGGGGAGGGGATCAGGTTTTGAGCTTTGGAGTTCTTTGCTTTGAATCTTTGAGACAAGGTTTATATGCACCAGGCTGGCCTGGAATTTGTTACATTGTTTAGGATAGCTTTGAATTGCAGATCTTCCTGCCATATCGGTACTGTATCTCTGGAGCCCTGGTACTGCAGGTGGAACAAGGCTGTTCTTTTGCAGTGCTAAGAATGGAATTTAAGGCTTCACACGTGCTAAGGTAGCACTGGGTAAAGGAGCTCCCCACCCCTCGCCCTCCACAGGGGGCTTTAAAAACAATTAGTGGGCTTCACATTTTAGAGAAGTTTTCCATTTACAGAAAAACTGAACCGAAAGCGTGGCATTCAGTTCCCTAATGCCCTCACATACTCCCTCCACCCAGAATCCCCTTCTACTAAGAAGCGGGGAGTAGAGGGTATTATTGGCTCTGTGGTTAAGAGAGCCTGCTGCTCTTACAGAGGACCTCAGTTCAGTTCCCACACCCACACAGGGTGGCACACAGGGTGGCTCTCAACTGCCTGTAACTCCAGCTGGGGGCATCTGATACCTTCTAGCCTCTACGGACATTGTGATCCTGCTCCCCACAGACACTCGAGTGGACAGAGAAACAGAAACAGACTTTTTTTTTTCTAGAGACAGGGTTTCTCTGTGTAGCCCTGGTTGTCCTGGTATTCACTCTGTAGACCAGGCTGGCCTCAATCTCAGAAATCCACCTGCCTCTGCCTCCTGAGTGCTGGGATTAAAGGTGTGCGGCATCACCGGTGGCCCAGCTATTTTAAGAAAGGGAGGGGGACAGTGTGACACACAGCCAGATCCCAGCACTTAGGAAACAGAAGTCGGCAGATCTTTGAGTTTGAGGTCAGTCTGATTGACAAAGTGAGTTACAGGACAGCCAGAGCTACACAGGAACACTGTTTGGAATAAACAACAAGGGTGGGGGACGTGGGGGAGGAACACTAGTGACACACACTTATAGCCTAGCTTTTGGGAGGCAGAGGCAGGAAGACTGCAAGCTTCAAGCCAACAAGGGCAACTTGATGAGACCCTTAAAAGTAAACAAAACACCCTGGCACTGGAGAGGTGGCTTTGTCACAGGTTCTGTGTAGCCTTGGCTGTCCTGGAACTAGCTCCGTAGACTGGGCTGGCCTTGAACTCACAGAGCTCAACCTGCCTCTGCCACCAC